TCACACAATCACACACTCAATCATCATTCATCACCTCTCTAATTTCACAGAGCGCTCAGATTCATCTGCACACACACACACACGCACACACACACACACACACACACACGCACACGCACACGCACACGCACACACACGCACACGCACACGCACACACACGCACACGCACACACACACACACACACAGACACACACACACAGACACACACAGACACACACAGACACACACACAGACACACACAGACACAGACACACACACACACACACACACACACACACACCTGAGGGTTTCCGCAGTGTTTGTGGTGTTCAGGTGTTGCGGCCGGTTGCCAGGTCTTCACTGTGTTTAAATATGGGTCAGAGGTCATAAACACCTGCTCTCTCTGTCCCTCTCAGTGTCTCCTTCATATTCACTCTGAGATCTGAGGTGAAGACCTGTGGTGTGTGTTTGTGCGCAGCTGAACAACAAATACAGCTAGTTTTTGCATAAACTGGGAAAATGCTGCTAAATCAGTCAAATTTGGCCACAATTATCAGAACTGTTGAAAATGGAAAGTAAAATGTTAAAGGTCTCCTGCAGTGCTGTGAGATGAGCTTTAAATATTAGAAGTTCCATGTAATCTCTACTCAAACCAGTACTGCCAGATGCTGGCGACTAATTCCAGCCCAAAAACAATCCAGAACCCGCTGAAATGGATTAAATGTCAACTCTTTGGTAGATCATACCGGTTGTAAAGTGCAGGGGTGAGTAGGAGATGGCAGGTCTCTGAGAGATCATACCCGGTTGTAGAGTTGAGGACGGGAGAGGGGAGTGGGGAAAAGATGGCATCTCTTTGGGAGAACATAACTGGTTTATATAAGTGAAGTAAGTGAAGCCCAGGGAGGCTGGTTGATTTGGTTCTGTAGAGGGGAACGAAAGCAGATAATACATGAAGACGGGGAGGGGGAGGGCGGGGAGGCCAGTTGTCTTGGTCTTGGGTAGTGCGGGGGGATCAAATTGAGTGTGAATGAGTGTGTATGGGTGTTTCGCAGTACTGGGTTGCAGCTGGGCATCTGCTGTGTAAAACATATGCTGGAATAGTTGGCGGTTCATTCCGCTGTGGTGAACCTGGATTAATAAAGGGACTAAGCTGAAAAGAAAATTATTGAATGAAAGTGATATTTCGACATAAATAATAAAAACACTACCTCCTTCTTCACCTCAGGGGGCTTCGGTGGAACCCGAGAGGAGCTGTAGATCTCTGGACCGGTTTCAGGATATCAGGCTGTGTTTCAGGGTGATTTGGCAGGCCGGACGCTCCTGGAGAGATTCAGACTCCTTCCAAGAGTTCTTCATTTCAACATCACGCCTCTTGGAGACGTCTGCGTCACCTTTCCCCAACAGCATGAGCACATCTAGCACATCCTAGATAAAGCAAGCATAATAACACACAGCAGCATCCAGTGATCTTCAGAAAGAAATGATGTTTCTATGTGCGTTTAAGGACAAGTAGTCTTCAGCATATTCATTTAAAGACTCTACTATAGTTATTATTGACCATCTGCCTCCTGATTCAGATTGAATTATTCAGCCTGATCTCACGAAGAAATGTAAGTATTGTACGTTTTGTCAGTTTAGTGGCGAATTCGTTTAAATTCGTACGAGTT